CATTATTTGAAAATGCAACATAGACTCTATTTGATAATGTAACATAGACCCTATTTGATAATGTACCATACATTATTTGAAAATGCAACATAGACTCTATTTGAAAATGTACCATAAACTCTATTTGATAATGTACCATACATTATTTGAAAATATAACATAGACTCTATTTGATAATGTAACATAGACCCTATTTGATAATGTACCATACATTATTTGAAAATGCAACATAGACTCTATTTGAAAATGTACCATAAACTCTATTTGATAATGTACCATACATTATTTGAAAATATAACATAGACTCTATTTGATAATGTAACATAGACCCTATTTGATAATGTACCATACATTATTTGAAAATGCAACATAGACTCTATTTGAAAATGTACCATAAACACTATTTGATAATGTAACATACATTATTTGAAAATGTACCATAAACTCTATTTGATAATGTAACATACACTATTTGAAAATGCAACATAGACTCTATTTGATAATGTAACATACATGTACCATAAACTCTATTTGATAATGTAACATACACTATTTGAAAATGCAACATAGACTCTATTTGAAAATGTACCATAAACTCTATTTGATAATGTAACATACATTATTTGAAAATGCAACATAGACTCTATTTGATAATGTAACATACATTATTTGAAAATTTACCATAGACTCTATTTGATAATGTAACATACATTATTTGAAAATGTAACATAGACTCTATTTGATAATGTAACACACTCTATTTGAAAATGTACCACAGCCTACTTTGCAACGGTTTTAGCCCTCTAAAGACTATAAATGATCTGCTAAAAAGCAACATCGTTTTCAATAGATTTTGTTTTATTGGCTAGATAACAGTTTGAAAAACTTCAATATAAGTGGTTTGTTTTGTTACACAATAAAGTTCTTTGGACTCATCTGTTTGACATAGCACGGCTTTAAGCCATGGTGGCTAACTGAGTTCAGATCGCAAAAAAAAAAAAGCCGCCATCTCGAAACAACTGGTTACAAGCCATCCTTTCTTTAGAATGTCACTTACTTCTTCCAACTTAGACCAAGTTCATGTGTGACGAAGCAAGCACAGCATTTGCCGAACGGAGAACTTCCAAACACGTATGGACACTTCGAATCAAATCTCGCCAACAAGATAACGCAGTCAGCTGTATATTAAAAGAAACGAGCACAAAGGCCAAGCTAGCTGTCCGTCGTAACCAAGTATAATGTTCGACATTGTCACCAGCTATGCAGTAGAAAAAGAACAGTTTGGGCAGTAGACAAGACAATGCCGAGAATATGATGGCAAAGAGCCAAAGACGTACTTCAATACTTTCCCTACGTCGTTTGAATGTGACCGTTCTTCCAATATATATTGTATTTATAAACACGTACTTACATACGCGTGTGTATATCATTAAAGGTCATGCGCGTTTATGTTCTATAGATGCAAAAAATACTTATGGATTATTGTCCTTTTTCTTCGTATTACCTCTATAGACATAATTATCAATGAGGATTGCCCTAATATTTACACATAAATGAAAGGAAGCATAAAAAAATACCAAACACAAAAAGCATCACTCATGAAAGACAAACAAAGCTACACAAAGGGCTATCTGTGCTCTGCCAACCACGAGTATCGAAATCAGGTTTCTCTCAGTATAACTCTACTAAGAGAGGTACCTGAGTAAGTAGGACCCACGCAACGGAAGGATACATTGTGTATATAAAAAATAGTCCAAGCTTTACATGTGACTGTAAGAAAAAAATTAAACATTAATAGCAGATTTGGATAGTAAAGCTCACAGCAAACTATATCTAAAATTATCATTAACCATCTGCAGTCAAGTGGGATAAAATAACAGTGACACCTATTCCATTCATATGTGTGTGTGGTCTCCCGGTAAGATTGGATGCTTATAACGCTAAAATCTGGATTCGATACTTACGAGGACACGGTATATAGAACCCATTGTGTCGCATTGTACTTTAAAACAAACAAACAAACTGCGTATATGTGTGTGTGTGTGTGTGTATGCAGAAACAAATTTTTGACGATAACAGTATTTGAAAAGCAGAATAATGACAATTATACCATAATGAGGTTGAATTTCTACACCTAAAACCTGATTGAATCTAGGTTTACTGTATGTACATGGAGTTGTGTTATCAAACTGGAATAACGTGCCACCATCAAGAGAATAAACGCCTGTCTTTATTACATGTCTTTTAGTGACATGATGTATGTCTCACCTTACAAGGTTGTCTTTCTTACAGATCACGCTCGGTTCATGTTCACAGTAACAACAAGAAACACGAATTACACCAAGTTTCGTAAGCATCTGTATACTGAAGTATGATTTGAGCGTTGTTTTTAACTATAAGAAAACTTAACAAAATAAGCTTTTGAGGTAACTCCATCAGGTGTTTATGAAACGCAAGCTTTTGAGCTTTCTGTGTCGAA